AAATAAATGCATTCGATAAAGGAACGGAAAACATTTTTTCTTCTAGCGACTGGCGTTTACAACACCCAGGTATTAGTAGCTGACTGGACGATGCATACAGCCCTGCTGAATCAACATGATATCCCTGTCACCATACATATAGCTTTCTTAAGGTAATGGGTGAGTTTATATATTGTCCGCCGTGCGTCTTTCAGTAAACTTAAATTAACTCTCTACGAACTATCGACAGACTCACCAACAGGAGGCAATATTTTGTACTTTTATTATATATTTTTTATTTGTTTATATTTATTTGTTTATTTGTTTATTTATGTTTATCTGCTCCTACGAAGACAGAAAAGGCTGATGACTTTTCTGGGATGAGTACGACTTGCTCGCAAACAAACTCCAGCGTTTGCGCTCAAAAGAGTTCAACCACAAGGAAATGGAAAACCAATAATTATTTTACGCAAACTCAGACATATTAGTGCTGCATGTAAAGAATAAAGAAATATACTCAAGTTTTGTACTCCAAGGAATTACAGGAGCACTAATGCTTTTCACCGGTGCTGTTTGCTTTCATCAGTTTAATCAAATGTTGCCCGCATGAGAAAAGGTAAAATGTTATTTTATGATAGCACATTTCTTACTTGCCAAGTGAACCGAATAAAACAACTCACAAGGCAAGAAAGTACTGTGACAGTACCCAAAACTTGTAGTTGTGCAGTGGTCGCAGTTCGTTGGAACTAAAAGTCAACTGAAAGCAAAAACGTCTCACGTATTGATCCAAAGGTGACGAACAATTTTTGATGGTATATCTTTGTAATGTACTACTCATAAGGCTGCTGAAAATCCGTCGACAGCCCACGACCGGTTTCGCCCTTCTAGGGACTCATCAGATAGGCGCAGTCCCCGAGTTTCCGTCAACCTTATGTTCTACTTGAAACTAAATTGCAGGGAATCAGCAAATGTACACTCAGTTACAAACTATGTGGGTTTTTCGAAAGACTCACCTGGAACACAGCTGAATCTCTCGTTTGTGATGTTCTCAGGCAACCTTATGAGCAACCTTCTTAGCAACCTTATGAGTAGTACATTACAAATATATACATGTGTCGCGATATCTCGAATATCGTAGCGACTGAAACATTAGGCGTCCATTCAATTGCCTGAGTACATCACAAATGAGAGATTCAGCTGGGTTCCAGGTGAGTCTCTCGAAAAACCCAAATTAGTTGCAAATGAATGTATATTCACTCATTTTTGATGATCTTTGGGACGGAAGCGAGTGACAAATCCTGAGGCTTACTGGATGACACATAAGGAATGTTGTAGAGGCCATGCTTTTTTCTGCGTTTTGTCGGAATTTATTCTCCTGTTAGAGGCTTTACGTGCTGACATTAAGATCATCATCAGGGTTAGTATTGCATTCACGTACAGCATTTTCTATTTCGCAGGGAGGCGGTCGACTTACTACACACCCTGCTTTGAACTACCAATCACCCCGTTGTTCAGCTTATAATCGTTTTTGTCATCCTCCTCTCCTTGCGATGTTCTGAGCCGAATTTCTCCGAACTTTTGTTCCACCAAAATAGTTTTCTTCGGACTTTTCTCGCAATTACTGTCAGAAAAGAGTCCTGTGCTGATTTCTCGTGTACCATTCCGATTGGGCATAAAGCGGCCAAAATCATAAAAGTAGAGACGATAGTTTGCCGCATTTCACGAACCGGAATCAAAGTACGGAATACAATATTTAAGTTACATTCTATTTCTAGAGAAGTTAACCGTATTTACAGCTTGCAGCTGTCTGGAAGTCTGGAGGTCTAGACATTCGGATAGGCGCTTGCTAGAAGCGCGCTTGGGCTTTTTGTAAACTCTGCTTTGACGAAATAGATCCACGCATGCGCTCACTGTTTGGTTCATGTACGTATTCAAGGCGATCGATAGGCATTGTTGATCGTGCTCTCAGCATACGCCCTAACCAGCCTCATCACCTTCGCCCTGAAAGACAAATTTGATTTTCCATTATTAATCTATAAGGGTCATTGCATGAACTTCATAATGGCGAACAGTTTTGGATGGCAAAGATATTTTTTTTAAATTACACTATTTCCAGTGGGACAGTTACAATTTGGCTCAGGAACCCCTCAGGATAATACGCTCGGCAAGCTAGTCCAGTTCAGCTATAAAATTAACCAGCATCAAAAAACTATCAGTCCAAATTAGCCGCAGCTCATTGCTCAGCGGATATTCCAGATAGCTTTCCACACATCCGGTAAGGCTTCCAAACTTCACGCACTTGTGCATGTATGTTTATTACTCAGCAACAGTTACTTTCTAGGTATCCACTTAGTGCTCCGAACTCCCCGAATGTCGACACTAACTATAGAAGTCATCCTGTGATCTGTTCAAACTATAACCGGAGGCTTTCTTATGGAAACGCGAAGTTTGGAGTGTCGGTTAACCATTGAGATCACATTTAAGCAACCTTATGAGTAGTACATTACAAATTTATACTTGTATCGCGATATCTCGAATATTGTAGCGAGTGAAACATTAGGCGGCCTGGTGAAGCACATTCAGTTGCCTAAGAACATCACAAACGAGAAATTCAGCTGTTTTCCAGGTGAGTCTCTCGAAAAACCAAATTAGTTTGCAAATTAGTGTATATTCGCGAATTCACATTTAGGCTGTTTCATCAGGTTGAAGTCAACCAAACACGAACGATCAGTAAAGAGAGCAGTAAACTTAAAGCTGGTGTATGTAAGCGCATCCAACACTAAGTGGAACATCTCGAACAGCAAGTATAAGCTCCTCCGAGCCACATTCCATGTGGTCATCTGGAAACCGTATCCTCCTTCACGAGTGCACTCTCAGACTACGTAAGCAGAACATGTGTGAAATTTCTTCAGAACATTTATAAATGAAAGCGAGGAACCAGTAGATCAACCAACCATCCTGATAGAAGACATCTGAATCGTCGAAGAAGCACACATTCTAATAGGACATTGCAAACATTGCCAATTACTTGATGAGGAATAGCGCAGTGGTTGCAAAATCCACAGCGTTATCACCCCCTCAAAGTTGTCCCAAAGACGTCTGCACATTTTCGCCTATTCTAATAAGGTTTGCGCGCGGGCGATCCGAATGTAATGAACGCGGTTTCTAGGAGGGAGTGGCTGCACTGCACACGTTCAGCTCTACGCATGACATATCAATGTTCAAACAGATCGGTACACCTCGACAGTGAAAGTGATTTGACGTCGGTTAGGTCTGCTGAGAGCCACGTTTTGGAAGAAGAGGTGTTGTTAGAATTTGTCTATTTGATAGAAGCCTACAATGCGCTGCCGTATGGATGAATTTGAGCACGCATTCAACTAGCTCGTTTTTGCCGCTTAGGTGCGGCGATGCGTGGCTATTGTTTGTCCGGTTCTCCTCATTTACAGTATCACGGCATACCCAAAACGTTTTTGATAAATCTTCACATGACGGTGATGAGTAAATTTAGGTGAAATGCCTGAATACCTAGAACTGACAGATTGCCTTATACTAGAAAATAATTGTGCAAGTGCATCACGGGGTGTCACTGACTAGCTGATGATTTTATTCTTGCTTTTGTGTTGGCGATGATTCTAGACTGATTAGAGAGGGCCTTTATGCTGCTAATTTAACTGAGACCCCACTAGGGAGATTTGGGTGATGTATAGAGCATGAAAGCCAGTTAACCCCCTCCCGTCTCCAAAGACCAGGGAACATTTGATCTGCTATTTTATGTCAGCGACAAACATCTTTGTTACCAAGAGGTTAAGGATATAGCAAATCTGTNTGTCAGCGACAAACACCTTTCTTACCAAGAGGTTAAGTATATAGCAAATCTGTGCATGCCAAATTTTCTACGTATGTGAAACAGGTATCACTAAAATGACATGAATGGGCTAACCGTGTTTTTGTTCATAGCCACACCACTCTTATTTGAATGGCCGTATTCCTGTTCTGGCGTAATTATTCCGGTGAGTCCACACCAAAGGGAAGTACTGGACTAGAGTTTCAATCTTATTAGAGCTCATCAGCCGTGCATATCCAATGGCCGTACCCGAATTTGAACCCCGGACATCTGATGAGCTCTAATAAGAGCGAAACTCGAGTCCAGTACTTCCCTTTGGTGTGGACTCACCGGAATAATTACGCCAGAGCAGGAACACGGCCGTTCAAACGAGTGTGGTGTGGCTATGAACAAAAATATCTATCCCGCAAAACCCCAAAACGGTAACTGTATCAACTGCATCAGGGAACAGGGGAGGTGGGGAATAATTGGCTTCTGCTTTCATTGGGACCAAGACATTCGGAATGGGCGGTTGACAAAACTGTTGGACAATAAGCACGTCATCGTGTGGCAAAATCTGGAAAGTCGCAAAAGCTAAAAATTTCCACCTAAAGGATAAAAATCAGCCGTCAGTTTCGTGTTAGTACACATAATCAATATAAGACAGAAGAAACTCTCAAAAATTCAACAATTTACAGGATGCAGTTGGCATAATTACATTAAGGAATTCAGATAATTGAACGTCTCGAAATTAAGCATGTTTAAATTAGCGTAAGCAGTACATCTGACTTCGTGAATTGAGCTCTTTTCAAGACATATCCAGAAGTCGCCTCCCCAACATCTGGCGTTGTTTGGAGGTTGCTCTTCTATTGCATCTCATTGGTCGGTTTGATTGTTGTGGCACAGTACTGGTGTAAATGCGGGTACTACTGTTTAAATATGCAAGTAGTCTGTCGCTCCGCTCGGGTCTAATGGAAAGTGAGGTTCATTTTGGAAACTGTGGAACTGCTTTTCATTGTTCGTTTTAAATTGCGTGATAGTCAATGAATACCCATGGAAGTTCGTCTGGGCCCTGTATAAGTGGAGGCGTTACATGCTGGGTCAAAGATTTCATGTCGGTCAAAAAACCCCCGACGAGATCGGGACGTCCAGAGATCTTTGCGGAAAGCTCGTTTGCTGGGCACTTCGGTTACAGTAGTACGACTTGACGATAAGGCACGCGCCATGGAAAGAGATCCACCCGGCTGAATGGCTGTCAAGACAGAAGACTAGAGATGAGGCCCCCATAATCATGCTTGATGCCAATAGCCTCGTCGTCGAACTGGATCCTGGAATGTTGGCGCAACTCAAGCGACAGGATCCCGTGCTACGGAAAGTTGCAGCCGCCTTGTTGGACGGAAAAAGTTTTGAGAAAGGAGGGATAGACCATGAATTGTAAACGTTTCAGAGTCACTTTGATCGACTGAGGCCAACTGAATCTGGCCCAATTTCCTGGAACGCCACCGATTCTGATGTTGTGCTGCCCGTGATGTATGGTATCTCGAGATGGAAGCTTAATGTCAAATGCCACGAGACGACACACACTGGGCACAACAAGACACACGACTTACTCCGGAAGGGAGCCCAGGATTACAAGTGAGGTGATGGATTATGTGGTGGTCTGTAAACGGTGTCAAGTAATGAAAAGCGATACGACAAGAGCAACTCAACCCATGGAATCTGCTCCAGCATCGGAGATCGGCAAGTTATGGTCCGTTGACTTCATAATGAAAAGTGACAGAACACCTATCGAGGTGATTGAGGCGACAGCCGAACAAATCAACGAGCGGCGATGATTAGTGGAATGGTAATGCATCGCATGGCCAAACATAAAGCGTCAAAAATGATCCTTACAAATCAGGGGCCTCGCATTGAGAGCGGAGATTTTAGGAGTTGCTTTCAGAAGCTGTGCATTAGTTGGCTAAGGATAGCATTTCACCAACCGAAAACACAAGACTTAACCGATTTCAACAACTGAATGATCTGGGGAGTAGTTGGAGGCCAAAAGGGACTGGCAATTAAACCAGCCAATGGTGTTGCTATCAAATCGTGCTTCGATACAGGCAACCAAAGGCAAATCACCGTTTAGGCTGATAAACACTCAACATCTGCGCCTTCCAGGAACTCTGGTGTTTGACCGACCACCAGCTTGTTTCTGGAGGAGCCAGAAGATAAAGGAAGAAAAGCCTGAAGAAAGTGGACCGTCGTTCAGCAAAGCACAAGAGAGAAAACAACAAGTAGAAAGGCCCAACCGTTCCTGATGGACGCGAAAGTCGAATCTAAGGATCGTCAGAATCCTGGAAGGAGTGGACTGGGATCGCGGAAGCTGGGCGGTCGACGGCAAGATCTGCCGGGGAAATCAAGGCGGGGAATCAAAAATAGTAAATGGGACTTAGCTTCGGAAGTGGCATGACACACCTGAATAACGGCCGAATAGACCAGCTGCTGCGGCCAAACTAACGAACGCAAATGAAAACCGGTGGCATGCGTGTGACCTTCGAATTGGGAAGCTGTGTAACATCAGATACCACTGGATAGGCATGTGAGTTTTTTGTGGTCTTCCGGAAGCTGCGCACCGTGTCCAATGAAAAATGACGTTTATTTGGGAACTTGTGAACTGCTTTTCGGTGTTTGTTCACAGTGGTGTGATGGTCAATGAATAAACATAAAAGTTCAAGAAGGCGCGTGAGTGTTCAATTTTTTTCAAAATTATGTGAATATGAGACGTTTGATGTCCTGTCTAATAGTTTGTAACTGCTTAGTTGTGTTCGGTAACATATGACTTCGTGACGAAGGAATTTCCTTCTTACATTGTTAGCGATTGCAAACAGATTGACCGGAAGTGCTCCTTGGCTGTTTATGTGTATTCAGTACATTGGGATGGCTAATTTGCTTTTGCATATTCCGTCGCTTCCGAGGAGTTGTGCAGAAACCAGGCTTGTGTTGTTTGTCAGAACGCGACCTCCAAGTTTAGACGGAAAGGCGCGTGGTGTTCAATTTTTTTCAAAATTATGTGAATATGAGACGTTTGATGTCCTGTCTAATAGTTTGTAACTGCTTAGTTGTGTTCGGTAACATATGACTTCGTGACGAAGGAATTTCCTTCTTACATTGTTAGCGATTGCAAACAGATTGACCGGAAGTGCTCCTTGGCTGTTTATGTGTATTCAGTACATTGGGATGGCTAATTTGCTTTTGCATATTCCGTCGCTTCCGAGGAGTTGTGCAGAAACCAGGCTTGTGTTGTTTGTCAGAACGCGACCTCCAAGTTTAGACGGAAAGGAAATCATTTTATCTATTCCTACTTTGGCCTCAAAAAGCTGTCGATGTATCATAGACCAGAGATTCGATTGAGTCTCTCGTGAAAAACAAATTGATTTGTAGTTCTCGAAAACAGTCCAACTTGGGTTCAAGTAGAACATAAGGTTGACGGAAACTCGGGGACTGCGCCTACTTGATGAGCCCCAAGAAGGGTGAAACCGGTCATGGCTGTTGAAAAGTTTTCAGCAAACTTGTGAATAGTTTCCTTTATGAAAATATACTGTCGATGTATCCTTTGATAAAGTCGAGGTCAAAAGTTAATATTTCTTAATTACTGTTGATTTTTTTCAAATTTTACGATACCTAAACATGTGAAAAATACAAACCGGTCTTTTGAATTTTGACATATTGTTTTGGTTCTTGATAGAGTCGGAGAAAACAAATTGGTGGTCGTCGGGTAAACCACGACCTTTGCTGGTAATGGTGCTGAGCATAATAAAACGTTTGCATTTACTGACATGCTGGTGGGCATCCTCTTTTCTGTAAGAATGGTAAGAAAATGAATCTTTGGAAGTGTAGTCCACATGATAAATATTTGCTTGATGCCGCGGTCAACCATCTTGCACACCCTTTCAACGATGACATTCGTTCGCACAACTTCCTCAAGGGATAATTTTTTCCACCAGGCTTCGTTCGCACGAATTCCTCAAGGGATAATTTTTTCCACCAGGCACACCGCAATTTCAGCCGAGGTCAAATTCCTTCTGACTTAGCGAATGAATTACCGTGCAATCTAGTCACGTGTGGCTTACTCGAATAAGATGTCATGGAGCATATGACAGTGTTAAATAATCGAGGATTTTTGAAAAGTACTTACATTGAGGATGACTTCCTGGTAAGAGGTTCAACGCTAGATATTCTTCCCAACTCGTTTTGTTTGGATGCATAAAGAAATAATGGGCACATATAAAGTAGGCAACAGTATCAAACCGGTAAAAGCTTCCGCATTTTTTTCACTCACTGTGATGGTGTGATGAATGGCGTATCGTAAAATCATCCTTCTTGATGTCGAGACGTATCCCATGGTTGGCAGACTCCCTCAAACTGTCACATGCGCTCTTCCTGTACTGCCTGTTGACACGCCCTTGTATGAAAAATAATTTACAGAAAGTACTGCACAACAGTTAGCAAAAAGTTTTCCGAATTTCCTGGTGCAAAAAAAACCCAAGGAAGCAAACAACAGAGTTTTCGTCTCCTATACAAACCTAACCCAATTTTTTTATGTGATATTCCAAGAAATCCAGATTAAACAGCCTTTTACAGTAAGCTTGTCAAACATTTAGCACAAATGCCTTGGAAGAAAACCGTGATAATAAGTAGATCATCTAGCTTCATCAGGCCAAGTGACTAGGTTCCGAGGTTGGTCGAGATTTAAGGCGGAAGGAGAACCAATCAGACAGGTCAAGCTAAATCTCTGTTGGGTGTCAGTCGAGGGATTTTAGTGTGTTCGGGTGGGTGAACAAGAGTTGGGCCGATGGGGGAACCTACATGTGTTTGGGTCCAGCCTAGGGTCTAGTGCTTCTGGTTCGGTTCATTTGATCGTTCCTCTTGAACTTCGTTTAAACCTTCTGTCAGTCTGTATGGGTGAGCTAGTGCTAAGAAAGTTGTTTAAGAGAGATGCTGTGACCTTTGGTCGGTTGGGGTACATGTCGGTTGTATGGTACATGTATTTACAGTGGCCGAACTTTATCCTCCATGGTCATTCAAAATTCCATGATATTTACACACCTGGACTATCTGTAATACGAGAAATTTGTGTACCACGAAGTAGTCTACTTGACTGTCCTGCAAATTAACCATACAGAAAAAGCTCAGCTGTAACACTCTTTGGGCGCCTAGCTGCCATACCACGCAGAGGAAGCACCTGGGCCGAGATGCTGTCAGGTTTCCTAAGCAGTTGAGCTTCAGGGTTCGGTTTCGAACCATCGAAAGTTACCCATGGGAGAGGTCGTTGACATTGTTCGGGGAGAGTGGGTGTAGATGACTCTATGAACAACTAATGTACAAGCGTTATTTCCACTCACAATCATGACTGTTGAATTGTGGGATTTCTGGTTTTTAGGTAATTCACTGAGTTGAGCTATTTATTTACAAACGTTTCATCAACAAATGAGGTGACAACATCAGTGCGTAGTTATGGAGCTTGGTGGGTTGTTGGTTGTGGAATTTCTAATTAGTTGTAATATTGATCAGGCTGGAGGAATATTAGATAGTTCCAACCAAGCAATGCGGTAGACGGACCCGTTGCCCTTAACTTATCATCGCGCTGTCTTGGTGAGGTGCTTGCCCAATACTTTGCAACACAAGCGAGCGGAATTCGTTTACCAAGCCACTCATGAATGGGGGAAGACAACCTTCGCCGATCTCACACAGTTTGTCATGCAAAGGGCGAGAACGTTAAACAGTCGTTACGGTATTCTAGCAGAATCGGTCGCGCAAATAAACCCAGGTGTACTTGACTAGTCTATTACAGATGCAGGCAAGAGCGGAAAAGCTTGGAATCATGCGATCGTTTGCTCAGAGCAGGCCCCCACTTTTGGGCGAGACGAGTTGCAAGGTTTGCGGTGGTAAACACTAGACCATTAACTGCGAGCGTTTTCTGTCTTGCGAGCTGGTCGGACGATGGTCCACTTTGAGGTTTATAAATGCCTGTTTTCAGTGTCTCGAAAAGGCCCACAAAGCACAGTATCAATGTGGGGTAAATGGATGCCGAGCTAAACATCACCTTCTGTTTCATTTGATACCACCGAATAAAAAAACAGAGTTAGTTCTTGTTGTCAGAGACACGGCGATGACTGATTACAAGACTTTTTCCTTTAGATTGGTCTCAGCTCGTCTAAGAGGTCCTTCATCAGAATTGATAACGTATGTCTTCTTAGACCGTGGGTCCGATACCACAATCATATGAAATAAATTGCTGTAACAACTCGGCGTAGAGAATCAGCGAACGCCGCGTGAAATACAGGCAATCAGCGGATCTTGTTTAGCAATGGGAATTTTCCAAATGTGCCCACCCCGCGATGACGCAGTTGTTTTGGTAAAAGTTGCTTCAGTAGTATCTGAAATCCTCCCATCATT